ACTTTTTTGACGGTTACAATGTTTGAATACGTCGCCGTGTTGACACAAAGCGACGCGAGAGTTGTCGCAGTGCAAAGTGCAATTTTAAAATGTAAACAAAGCCCGCACCTTGAGTCCATAAACGCTATCTCAGATTTCGCCTTATTGAACCTCCGAGACGAAGAATAATCTTGTATTTTTAAAAACGAAGGAGTTTCTGCAACTGTATACGTTGGCGACGTTTCCAAGAATTGCTTGACTTTACTTACCTACTTAGTTATAATGGTATAGTTTGTAAATAACCGAGGAAAGAAAATAATATTTTTTATGTCGAGACTTAGGTTTTCTGGAAAAGCATTCAAGAGTTTCGTTTAAGAAAAACAATGCTAAAAATGTTCTTTGCAGAATATGGTATAAATAAAATTTTATGCGACAACATAGGTCTAATTTTAATGAAAATGTTAAGTTTAGGATTTGTTTCTTGTCCTGATACCAAATAAGACTTTCTATTGAGTAATTTATGAAAGAGACGTCATATTCTAAATAAAATAGTTCGGGACCTGGACATACTATGGCAGTAGTTAAAAGTTACAGTTGTTTTCCAGCATGAAAAGTGGAAAACTTAGGTCCCAAAAAAAAGTTTTACGCAACTAAAAATATTTTTACTTTTAAATATCGAATTCAAAACTAGAACCCTGTTGTCACAATACTCGTACAAACAGAGAGCGGAACACCTTGGCTTGTGTTAATAGGTATTGTCAGTGACAGAGCCGGCTGGTTATGGATGGGGCGGGCTGGCTGCGACTGCCGCCATCAATCATAACTTGCTGATGGAGCGGCGCTGATTAACGATTGCTGCCAATGCACACCACTGTCCCCGCTGTTTATTTAAGAATAAGGTGGCGCTTCAGAGGTGACACGTCTACGCAATAGATGAACCTCTATGTATAAAAGATACAGCAGGTATAAAGACTGCTTAACTTTACTTGCTGATGGACCGGCGCTGATTAACGATTCCTGCCAATGCACACCCCTGTCCCCGCTGTTTACTTATTTAAGAATAAGATGAGGTGCTTCAGCGGTGACATGTCTAGGCAACAGTTGAACAGATGAACTGTAGCCAGCCAGTACCTATTTCTTCTCCAAGACTTCTGATCAAGCTGAGTTATTCAATTTATAGATCATGAGTACACTAAAGAAGAATGTAGTTGACAGACATAACAGCTATACCTACTTACAATTAGCAAAAATTTTTAATATTCTGATTATAAATATCTTTCTTTCAGATCCAACTAACATTGTAACAAAACCATAAGTTAAAATTTTTCGCGGAATTTTCAATGAAAGAATCCAAACCTCCCAAATTATTCTAATAACAAATCTCAAAAATTAAAACAAAACCAATCTAAAAACCCGATGTTACTAACTATTTAAATCTCGTAGGGAAACAACATGCCTCGGTGGTTTGTAACAAAACATGCACTCCCAAATCCGAAAGAGACTCATTATTATTTCAGGTAGAGGTCGTCGGCATTATGTTTGTGTTGTTTACTATGTGCCGAATGTAGGAAAATGGACTGTGCCGTACGTGGGTCACATGGATTAATTTCTAATTGAAAAGCGCTTTTTGGCAGAGCCTTGTCCGCTTCTAAAAGATTATGTGGGTGATGTTGATTTACTCAAGAAATTGGGGTGAAAAACAGGTTTATTTTAACAATATTTTGTTGGAATTTTCCTTTATTTTGCTCGTGAAAAAGGTCAACATAAGGCAGCATCAGTATGCTTGAGGTAAAACTTTAGACAGAAACTATAGGATAAGTATAAACTGCGAGTAGTAATAGTTCCAATTTCGCTTCTGTAGTTGTCGATACTGAATGATTTTCCCAGGTATTGTGCACACAATAGACGCTTCAAATCCCATCTCGGGCGTTACCAGAACACATTTATCCGACATCGCATCGGCCGCATTATGTACTTGCATGAGCCGCTGAAAAGATTTGACGGCGAGGTTAGAGATTTATGTCAAGGATCATACAGCGGATTCGGATTTCAGACCTTAACATCCGACTGTGCCCTTTGTGCGAGCACTATCCCGCACACTCCACTTTGTGCCCCTCTCTTGTGCCCCTCACTTGTGGTGCCACTTACGGGACGTTTTAATTCCGTTCGCCGCGAGCCAGCACGAGTGCGGTACGCAATCGGTTTGCCGCTACTCGAGTGCGTTTAAGATAGTTTTGGGGGGCAGGTTCTTTGGTGGACTTGTTTCGGAAAATAAGACAAGATGATCATTAAAAGTGTGAGCAGATTGATGTTATAATGACCTAAAACAATAAAGCATTCCTCTTACGTGATAACGTAAAGTTTCATAAATAAAACATAGAGATGCTATTACTCGTACAATGAGATCATAAAACAGCTGACATGGCCACTCATTACCCAGGTCATAAACAGACTCGGACAAGGAGACATCGATTGAAAATTATTTCACCCTTTATGTTCAATCTTAGAGCATCTCCGGTTGTTTGAAAGTCAATTACAGTGTCGTCGATAAACAAGAGATCATAAAAATAGTCCGGCGACTTGGTCGCTCGTTAGCAGTCCTTACGGCGGAGGCTGGCTTACTGCCGCTAATGCAACGTTACTGCATCGCTGCTGTTTATCGCGCCATAAACACTGCTACACTGAACATCGGTTACTACTCGTCGGATAATTAGACATGTTCACTGTCACATGGGATATCGATTTAAGTTTATGGTTTGTGGATATTTCAGCATTCTACCCGTCGAGATTCTTTGAAAAAATTTAAACTGCAAAGTTACTATGTGCTATGTGAGTAACATTTTTAAGATCTTTGATTAAGAATATGACATATGACTACTTACTAACTTACGGGTATGTTTGAATTTGATTACACATTGTATTCTTGTACATACCTTTCTGATTAAGTTTCTGACACAATGTAAATTAGGTACCTCATCATAAAGTAAAGTCAGTCACACTGAAGATTACAAGACAAGCTTCAGTTAGACAGTAAAGCAGACGTTCATATTATAACACCACTAACCCCCAGTTTGCATGCATATGATAAATTGAGTACCCCTGTAACTTTGTATTCGTCATGGTTAAATACCGCCTAGCTCGCTATTTTGTAATCCAAATAGTTGATTGTATGCAAAACTTAGTAATACACGTAGTGCATAAATGAATTTAGTACATTAAGAGCATAAAGCATAGGTAAGTTGCGAGCGTGGGGATTCACAACAATGTTACTACGACCTAAGAGCACTAATTTGAGATGCGCTAGTTTTGCTTGAATTCGCTGAATAAATTGTCCTCATGTATGGTTCGTATTAATGTAAGGATAGTTTATTGTTCGTCATTTCGCCGTTGCAGTTGAAAAACTTCTGTGGTTACTTTGAATTTGAATACTAATTTGAGAATTCGCTTTGACAAGATTCAGTTGTGAAATCGATTCTAGTTGCTCTGTCTTGTTCTGAAACGCTCGCTTTTGTACCGCGGGCGATTAGCGACCTATTACGGGACGTCCGTTGAGCCGCGGCCCCCAGTTAGTACTTAGCGTTCGTATGTTTTCCTCAGTAGTACGCTCCGCCGGCGTTATCTCAATTCTGCAAAGGGCTTCCAGCTCGCTGGTATTAATCTGTTCGCAAGCCGCTGGCGGAGTCTGAACTAATTAGTTGTAGTTCTAAAATAACAAAGTACCAAATGTAGTGTTTATCGTTCGTTTCAGCCGAAAGACGTCCACTGCTGGACAAAGGCCTCCCCCAAGGATTTCCACAAAGACCAGTCCTGCGCCGCTTGCATTCAGGTACTTCCCGCGACCTTCACCAGATCGTCGGTCCACCTAGTGGGAGGCCTGCCCACGCTACGTCTTCCAGCTCGTTGTCGCCACTCAAGAACTTTCCTGCCCCAGTGGCCATCAGCTCTTCGAGCTATGTGCCCCGCCCACTGCCACTTGATTTTAGCGATTCTGCGTAATGGTAGTTTAGGTATATGGAAGTTTAAACTAGGTAGGTACATATAAGTTCTCGCGTTCAGCGTGTAGCTTACGCCAATCGCATTAAGCTCCACAGGAATCGAGCGTAAAGAGCGACTAATTAGGACGGATAGTCGACTCACATTGTAGAATTCATTAGCGAATTGTCGAATGAATAGAGCTCGGCTATTGACGTACTAACTCGGCGAGCAAATAATACACACAAACTTTTCGTATAAAAAGTAAAAGCGGGCAATGTGCTCCCGATCGGTTGCAAACAAAGTTACTGGTAGCGATTCATAACATTCAGCGGGTGGAAAAACAAAAAAAGGCTCAATAATTATGCTCGTGAAGCGAGTTTGCGGAAGCCGCAAAACGAAATTTAATTTGCCCTGAACGCTGCATCAGAAATAAAGTTAAAATAGTCGCTGCAGTAGGCGGCCGTACGCCCAACTTCTAACGCAAATGAATAGCGAATGGGAAAAGTTGGTTGGAGAAAAATGATGTCCCAGTCGGCCATTGTCGTCGGCTCGCGGCCGCGCGTTGTTTCCGATATTATTGTACTTAAATGCACATAAACGTTCCGTTGTTGGCTAACATTTGCAAAACGAAAGCGAACTGCTGCGCTGTAACGGCCTCGGCTTACTGTAGATTAACTGGGTTGGTAGTCATACACAAAATCGATTCATACGGGTCGATTGCCTTTGCGAGTTTATTTTTAAAAAACTCAGGTCAAATGTTTTGCACACTCGTTTATTCAACTATCGCAATTTACTTGATTGAAATCAAAATAGTTTGAAATGAACTCGGTTAAAAGCGTAATGAATAATGTAAGTATCAACAACTAACTCCAACTGAGATGAAACTCTAGGGTACACAGTTCAAATCGAGTAAGACAGAGTCACTTCATTTCAAGATAGTTCGAAAGCTAGTCATTAAAGTGAATGAAACGTGCGGCAATAGGAAACTTTGTTTTATGGCTTTACTTCACAAATAGTTAAATAAAAACAAAGTTTTTAGTACTCACCGTTTTCGCCGTTTGCGCTGACACTGTGTCCGGATACTGGATGAGGGCTTGGAATGAATCTGCGAATTAAAGTGTTGCCATTAATACATTACGTTTCTCAATTTATGTAACAAAGTTAAACATAAAATGGGTTTGAATAATAAATTTATTGACGTTACTAGTAACGCGATATACAATTTTGCACCCCAAAGCTTTTGGGCAAAATCAAATAAATTTACATTTTGAATGTTATAAAACAATTTTGTGTCGTTACTGTAGAGTGCTCGAGTGTTGGATGTCTCACGGAATTTCTGACAGGCAATATCTTGTTCATAAGGACGTTCAAACAAGGTGAAATTGGCGCCCAACGTGCGGCGCTACGCGATCCACCGAGCACTCGAGAGTTAGTCGCTTTCGTGTCTCAGGTGTACCGCAGTTATTTTATCATCCACGACACTTTAGCGAATATTCGAGTAAACAACTTTCTGTGCCTATTTTAGTTATAAACTCCCGACTACTTTATTGCCCGAGCGGTTGGTGACTTAAAATGTTGGCGTGTACACGTGCTTGTGTTACTCGTCTTTTACGGGCATAGTTTTTTATTATTAACCAATTACACGTAATAAAACGGGAGATAGTGTTGTCGGAAAAAACACATTAAGACCGAAACCGGCCTATAAACAATCGAGTCGAAGAGGGAGATGTTGCGATGGGCTGTATCTCCCCACAAGTAATATAGTTCGTCGTCTACTCTATTTACTGGGAGAGGATAAGCGTTAAACCCCCTAATTTAAGGCATGAGCCGGCGATCATTGCCGTCCGGCGGGCGAGCACATAAATTCCCATTTTTAGGAAACGTCGGCCGGGCCGCAACACCTGCGGTGGCGCAAGAAGCCCTTACAACCGTAAAGTGTCGCTGCCAATAACGATATAACTAGTAACTTGTTACTTGATGTTAGTTTTTTGCATTATAATCAACATAATTTATTTACTAAGTTATGTGCTAGCAGATATGATTAGTAAAGTTTGGAACATCTAGGCTTTTAAAAATTTAGCGAAATAAGCAAGTTTTTCATAAAGAGGATCTAGATTCTTGGCATAATTGAAAATACCAGTACAAATATCTGAATTTCATTTCTTTCATAAATCTATCTAAGCATACGTTTACATTATCGAAACCAATATGATGTTATTTGTATTATTTTAATATTCCTTTTCGATAAAAAGTAGAAAAGGTAAGGCAAAAAATAATATCGTCATCAAAACTGCCCGGAAAATCTATAAGGGCCTCATCCCTTATCATTGTTTATTTATTTTTTCAATTACGACCGAGTATCTATTCGGCAAATTGTACTTTACCTGGTTCCCCATAAATATTGGAAGTAACAGCACTCAAGGTAGGTCCTGTCGGTGTAAATTAAAAGTAACGCGGTGTCTCCTTCATACATAGTTAAATGCTCTTTAAGGCCCCATATTTTCCTTGGGCCAGCCATTTGGGACCGTTAAAATGGAATGCATAAAAGGCTTACCGCAAATTGGAGTTTTTATGTAATTACTTCGTGAATAAGTAAAAAGAATTTTACGAGGAAACGAACTTAGATGTGAGTATATTGTTATGAATGGCTTCCAAAGGGTTCCGCTGGGTGCCTTTTATTTTATTTAATGGGGACAATAATTTTATCTGGCACAGTAATGGTTTGGGACGTCAATCAGTTTTACAAAACATGACAAAGAAAGATAAAAAGGTAGTTCTAATTTCGCCAATACCTTACAGTTACGAACATCTAGTGTAGGTATCTAAGTTGTTATTTTCGTCAAAGAAAACGGAATATTCTCGTGATATTTATAGACCATTGGTAATAAATTTCGTTTGCCACAAGAGATCACAGCTGAGGGGTGTCGGTCTGCAGTACAGGAGTTTGCTCTATGAGAATACGACACGAAAGTTTATACCCCCGGGATAAAGAACCTTTTTCTTATTCCTTTCAAGGATGTAAAAAGCTTTTCAAGGATGATAGCAATGCTTGAGACGCCTTTACATCCTGTTCGTGACGCTTTGTATACACTGATCTTTATGAAGAACAATGAAACTTGATGCGAATGCCAGTGTTGCTTTCAGTACACTAAATTTATTACCTGCGTCATGCTGAAGTAGTGGCTACGAGATTGTGCTTAGCAACTACGAAAATTATGGGTCCATAATACTTAATGGCAAAGCACGCTCGTTATAAATGCACTGCATTTTAAACAGTTTAGAATTTAATAACAAAGTGTAAACACTTCTAAAATGAGTTTAATGAAAACGTCAAAACTGTTAGCTGTTTTTTGTTGACATAAAAAGTTTGCCGTAGTTAGAAAGTTCGGGGGAATTCGTACCGCCTGTTAGGGTTATTTATCTAATTGCAGCCAGAAATATTCTGGGGACTAATCCGATAAGCTCGCGCAAGAAATTCAAATGATCCCAATCAATCGACGGTGCGGTCCTTCTTAATGTTTTATTAAAAATTCACCCTGAACGCGCAATTACTTTATGGAATATATTAACCGTCAATGTCTGCGTAAACACAAGTTGGAAGTTGCGGTTAAATTACAATTCCGTGATCCTCGCTCCGCGGGAGCAAAGAGGTTGCTTCCGCTATGTTAATATTAAGCGGGACCTTGCTGGACCGATTACTGCATAATTTGATATCTTAAATTTTGCCGTTTCTGGAACGAGCGACCTCTGAATGCATTTTATTTTACAATTTGGGCACCCTTTCAGACAACTGATGACGGCAAGTACTTTAAATAATTTGGATAACAAAAGTAATCTACACGTTTTGACTACACGTAGAGCAATGTAAGGAGATGAATATTTTAGCTCTATTAAAGCGACTACAGAATGGATTTCATAGTAATCCCCCAAGCAAAGCCAAGCTAAGTCAGTATGAAGTCAGCTCGCGCTCAAAGAACAGAAGTCACACAAGTTCCAATATACGAAGACGATATCCGTTACCGAATCAAATCCTTAATTACGTGAATCCGACGGCGACGCAGACACGACACCTACCGCAAACAGGGGACGCATAATAATTGTAGCGGTCTGCTACACCTTAATAAAGCCAATAGGGGGTGGGGGCGGGCGGGATTACGGCGACTCCGCGCTCTTCATTGAGATTTGTTTCGGGATTAGAAGCGTTTGATGCTAACCTCCCGTCAGGTCGCGGCCGACGCGCTAACCGACCGTGTTTTTCCTCTAACGCGTTCAATATTCATACGGTAAAAGCCTGACAGAATATTCATTACCCAACTTACCCGCAACTCGTGAACGCACGCAGTTACAACATAAATCAGAATTGGAACTTCTTAGCGATTAAAGTTACGAATTCGGGGCTGTGATGTTGAACGTGTAAATATAAATAAAGGTGAAATATTTAATCTCACAAATCATGAAAGCCGCGTGTTTATTTGAAGAGCACGATTGATAACGAGTCAGAGGGTACACAGCCCTACCAGAAATAATCGGCACGTAAATACATTTCTCGGTCTTATGAAGGTGATTTTTCACGGATTGGCACGATATAACGCGTTGGTGGCTCGGGGCTTGTCTATAAATAGGTATACATATATTATACTTTACATACACAATTGCTCACTGAGATAATTTCGCACACATTTTCCGGGTAAAGAAAACGCTGATATTTTATGACTTTGACGATAAAAAAAGAGCAGTGTCTTTAACAAAATGTCAATTCAGTGAAGCGTTTAGAGCGTAACTCGTCTTTGGGAAGGCACGGTTCTGTGTATTCGAATATTGAAAGTGAAAACGGAAACGATATATGTGGTTTATTTGCTCCCCGCGAGACAGGATAATTGAAGTAAGGATTTATACGTTTTGGATCTGCCATCTACTACGGTTACTGTCTATTTCGTATGAGATCATTCGGAAGCGGAACGCACTGGGTAGATTTTCGGGAGTAGGTGCGGTATTAAAACTCAATTCACTCTTTAATTGACTTTTGAATAGAAACATTGTAAAGGGATGATTCAAATAAAGTAATTTATGTATTTTCATTGTTAGTGGAGCTGCCCTTAATTTATTTGGGTGTTGACAGAGTTGCAACGTTGTGATTTTTCATTGCAAACAATTTTAGTGTAGTTGTGGTCTGTTCCCTATACTTAAGTTATAGTTTTATACAAAGTTGTAGATGCCCTGTTATCATAAGGGTGTTTCCTAGAATCAAATATTAAAACATCCACTTTGGCCGCTAACAAAACTTCTTCTTTGCCTATTTACCTCCTATTTTATTTTTCCGCTTTCATAATTTAGTGTCAGTAGAGTAGTGTCCGATTCAAAACCACAGACAAACATTACAAAGCGACCCAGGTCGGTTACAGTCCGACTCCGACAATGATGAATGTAGTAAAAAAATGTGTGTGCTCAATACTGGAGTTGGCGGGGTGTACGGGTGCACGGAAATTGGAAATGCTGCATTAGCGGAGGTGCCGTCACATGATACCGACAAGTTATGAGCTGGGCCCAGTGCACTCGACGTTTATCTAGACGACGTTATCCTTCTCCCCCGAGGTTGGTGGGAACTGGGAGGCGAACGGGATAGCCGTTGAGAATCGTGCAGTATTGAGGTTTTGCCACAAAAAGTATTTGGCTCACGTTTACAAAACAGCGATTATTTTGACGTCTAATTTAAACTGATTTCTAGCACCTATAAATTGTTACCTATGTTCGTTCGTTTCAGCCAAATGACGTCCACAGTCCACTGCTGGACAAAGACCACCCCTAAGGATTTCCATAACGACCGGTTTTGCGCTGCCTGCCAACTACTTCCCGCGACTTTGGCACGCCTGCCCACTACGTCTTCCGGCCCGTGGTCGCACATTGAATGACGATCAGCTCTACAAGCTATGTTCCACAAAAAATATTTTTGATTTGAATTGACTTGATAAATAAACTACTAACAAAATAAAGTTGTTTAGTGAACAGTAGCGATAATTGTTTAATCCCCTCGACACGGAATAAAATTGTTCCGACTCCTGCGATTAGATTCATCGGGGACTCGTGTCTGCCAATAATAATTATGTTTCCGGTGGAAACACGGCATTTGTGACGACGATTATAATTGTTAGTAGCAGTTATCCGATTACCTTAATTGTAGATAGAAGGTGTTCATAAAATTGCTCTATAAAGATATTGAAATAGAGGGTCAGTTGAAATGTAGTTGTATTATAGATGGTGTGGACTAGCAGGCATTCAGATTCACGCTGGCTTCAATGAGCCCAGTTTTTCATTACAGCGAAGTTAGCTATATCATTTCCCGGCAAAAAACACTTGACGGCAGGCTCCCCGGAGGGCAATGTCCGGCGAGGTTTTAAATAAAGTTGATTCGAGGTTCCCAACTAGGTGTACGGCATAATTAGCTGAGAGTGAGCAGTACAGCAGCTCAGCCGCGGGCTCGAGCTTATCAAATATGTACCTACTACCTACCTACCTGCCTCCTGTGTGCCGGATTTATTTAGGATATGCATGAGGGTACGATTTAAATTTTAAACGGATTGCGCCCTTGGATTTTGGGCCTCTGTTATGTTTGGTAAATCTATCACTATAACGCCGGACGCGAAATTAATTTTAAAGCCCGCTCCAATTTGATTTATTAATAGTTGTTTTAGTCGCTGTAATCCAGCATGGTTGCCATGACTGCCGACGCGTCGCGATAAAGGCTTATCGTACAATATTCGATCGTGAAATACCTAATTAGGACTCGATTTAATAATGCAAAGCTCGCTCGCGCTTTGAGTAATTTCAGGGGTTTGTAACGTTTTAATTAAATAAAAACATGGAATTAATTTGCGATATGGCTGTAGCGTTGCTTTTAAAAGGAACACGTAATTATGGGACTACAAAGACTCGTGGTTAATTTCAAAATGTATTTGTAATTCTTGTTTCTTGTTAGTGCGGTGTGTTTATACATGATTTAATATTAAATACTCTACCCACATCAGGTTGGGGCGATAGGTCAAGGTTCGGATGTGAGTGTGGGGTCCTTGGGGAAATACAAAGGTTAATAGAAGGTAATTAATATGAGTACTTACTATTTTTGGTGAATGTGACGATCTTGAGCACCTTTCCGTACCGCTGGAAGATTGAGTACAGCACATCTAGCACAATGGGGTACAGCATATGTTCTATGATCACGCGCAGCACTGTGTTGGGCCCGCCCTAGAACCAAGAAAAACAAGTTGTTAAATACATTTTGACTATGATTGTGACCAGCTGAAAGGTTACACAAGAGGTTTAAGCGTGACCTGTCAAACATAGCATAACGTAGACTGAACATTGCACATTAGGCCGAAACCATGCCGAAACAGTTTGGTCTCTGTACTGTGCAGACAACGGCTCATCAAGCTAAACACTGGGGCATCTTATGTAGTCGTAATAGGTATAGTTCTTGCAACTCACGAAGGCGAGTGACCTTTACTTGTGTGTGTATGCGTACATGCACATAACGATAGTGTAATGTCTATCAAAACTTTTGGAAAAACGGCGAGTAGCGAGTCACCAACACATGTAAAGCTCACTCGCCTTCGTGAATTGCAACAATTACTACCTATACCAATTTGATTAAAACATGTTAAGTATGAGTATTGTGTATTGTCGACTAGACAGACCTATGTTTTATCAATACAATAAATAGACAAATACTATTATTCAGACGACTTCTTTTATCAAAATGGAAGCGTAATAACGGTATTGTTCGGTGGTTTCTAAAAGGGGCTGAAGTTCGTATTTTTATAATCTTCTTTGTTATTCTATTACATCAGTCCAATTAGATTGAAAGCATTATTAACTGCCTATGTCAAACTCATAATGATATGAAAGCTAAAAGCGAAATTCTATATTCAAGTAGCTATTTACAGAAATGTGTCTCGTGTAACATAGACTGCCTTTTTATCTCGGAGTTAGTGTTCCCTACGCAAAAAACTAAATAACTAAATATTTAAAAATTTAAGAGACGTAATCATATATGAGTCTAATGCCCGTTTTCACCATCAATCCCTAATTTTTAAGTGACCACTATGAAAACAAAATTCCTGTTTTGTGTTACCTAGGGGTCACTTAAAAATTAGGGATTGACGGAGCAAACCGGCATAAATCTTAAGAATGTTGCTGATGAGGGCTTTAAACAGCCTTACATAATATCTCATTGACCTTTCTGTTTGTTTGTAAGACATAAATCCGCCCTAAGCAACCTCGCACACCCGCAGGGATTTACCTAGTAATAATTAAAGGAGCCTTTATCGGCTTGTTTCTAAGTTCTATGTCCTATGTTAATTTTAGTTACAATTCGGGTTAAATATTTCTCCACGTTTGATTACATAATGAACTCAATTAGTGTTACAATGTGCTTAATTGTGCTAAATGTGGCATCAATTAAGTCTGTTGACAGGTTACCTACTGTAATTGTACTAATTTGGTAATGGATAAGGTGTACTAAGGAGTTTTGAACCCGTTCTTTTGTATCTAAATGAATATTGCCTGTAGTCTAGCACATAGAGAACACGAATAAAGCATCAAGACCAGCAAACACTCAGCACATTATCCATTAAATTTTGTTAGCTCGTCTTCAAAATAAACATTAATTAAAATGGAGGTTGCCAAAGTCCGGGGCAACATTGTCAAAGTGCAGTAAACATTGACCAAGGGACCGTGTCCCGTTGCAGCGACAATTTCTCGTTGCAACGACAATTTCTCGAGCCGGTCGTCACGGGGATTCGGATTCGTGACTCGCGTCTAATATTTAAGCTGTGCTCCACAATAACCACTACAATTTATAGCTTGTGGAACATTGGGAGGACCTTTTATGTATCGAGAAAAGCTATTTTAGTGTTTTGTATAAGTGCTTTAAAGCCTGAACAATGCCCATAATTTGAATTCGTGTCAAATGTGTGATTGATTACTTATAACAACGTTGCATAAATCTTTTGCGGCTTTTATAAGGGCCCAAAATCTATACTCTATACTAATATTATAAATGCGAAAGTACGAGTAGCTCTGTCTGTCTGTCTTGCTTTCACGCCTAAACCACTGAACCGATTTTGATGAAATTTGGCATAGAGATAGTTTGAGTCCCGGTAAAAGACAATATAGGATAGTTTTTATTCCGGTTTTTGAAACAGGGACGCGGGCGATAAAGTTTTTCTGTGGCAGTCAAAATTCCACGGGCGGGCGGAAAGCTAGTTGGACATACGTTACACTTTTGTTTTATAATGTATGATGTATGACACAATAATAATTAACAACGGTGTAAAATACTGGCAGTACCTACACAACATTATAAAACGAAAAGTTATGTGAGCGACACTAACTTCATAGTAAATTGGGAGCTTCGGGATACAATAGAGAGTCATTTAGGCTTAGCTATCACAATGGGCAGCGTTGTAAATTCGGCTGAAAATATTGGGTCTTGTACACAAAATGAACGTTCATTTACTTTAGAAAAATACGTCCTATTTTGATATTTTTTGGCATGAAATCATCGTGGTAGGGATTCTGTCGCGTGTAATATTTAAGGTGCCCTTTGTAATCAGCTTCCTCTACCGCTAAGCTGCATAGGATTGTGTGGAGGCTTTAGGCAATGCCTAATTACATCACATTATTAACCAGACTGGGCATGCGGCGGGATTAAATGAAACACTAATTAATAATTTCGGTGGCTCATTTCGCTGTTTAGGTAGTGATGCATAATTATGTAATAACAAAATTGTTTTGGAAATCAAATTGAGTTCAGAATTATCAGTTTGGAGTTTCAAAATGTATACCTACTGTTTTTTGAAAAATATTAAATTCCTAGAATATAATAAATGTTTGACATATTTACATATATCGCAACATTGCTAGATGTTGCCTTCCACCTTTTAAAAAAGAAGTTGTACAAGACCAATTGATTTATGCATTGATTTGTTTCCCTACAGACAGAGGAACAACATAATGTGTAGTATTAAAATTCTTTATTACTAAGATAAGTCCTTTTCATAACTTTAACATGTTCCAATATAGCTTGCCCTACCACCACTTCAGACCACACAGTTAGTTAGTCAGAAGTGGAGAACTAAATAAGGTATTACCTAAGTAAGTAATACCTAAACAAGTAGGCTTAGGATGCACGCCGCGATAACCCATATATTTGTCGTCTAAAATCATCGAAAAGATTTTATCACGTCTCGCATCCTAGCCTGCCAATCTGTAAGATTTTAATGATAAATTAAGTGATTTTTACCTGAATCTCCGTGCCTCCATTTGCCGGCTGCATCGCTGCGCCCGCGCCGGCCACCAACGCTGCGCCCGCGCTGTTGGAGATGACCTGCGCTGCCTGCAGCGCCGCCTGCGCCGACGCCGACTGCAAGCAAACCGACCCCTATTGATTTGTGATTTACGTAGAGCAAGGCTTTAAATTAAAATATAACTGGTGGTTTATGAATATTTGGTTAGTGAACATTGGAGTGTTTTCTACAAAGTGGACAGACGATCTCATAAAAGTGGAAGGCGTTGGATGCAGGCCGCTACCAACAGGCTAATTTGGATATCATTGGGGGAAGCCTATAATCAGCAGTAGACGTCATAAGTATCGCTGAAATGATGATGATGATGATGATAAGTTTGCATAAGCATTAGCTAATTGAAAAATTTGAATGACTCATTTATTTTGATTACATGAAAATTGAAGATAATTAAAATTAAGGTACGTAAGGCATTGAAAATACTATAAAAGAAAATAGATTTTGATTTTCCAACTTGAATGTATGCAGTACCTACCTATGAAATTTTACTATCTAAATAGCTTTACTTGTATTTTGAAGTATACTACTTAACTTGTATGCTGAAGAATATTTGTCTAAGTAAGTAATATTACTTATCACAAAAAGATCAACAAAAATAAATGTCATTGTTTGCCCACAACTTTCCCATGAAACCGTATGAGTTATCATTACGATATGTTCACCCGAACAAAGTTCCATCCCCGGCAACTGTATTCATTCCCTGTCTATATAAAAGAAATAGGTATAACATTGTAGTATCAACGCACGCATTGAAATAATGTAACAATGTTCCTGGGGGAAATAAAAACGTGGTCACGTACAAAAACTAAACATGTCCGGCGCTCTCGTAACTCGAACAATGAGGCGGTATGAGAGGAGTTATCTCGCAGGCGCGTGGGCCACCTTGAGTACCGGTAGATAACATTGACCACGACAAACAAAGGGTGCCCATAAACTTATTTTGTATCAAACAACAATTCGCTACTTTGTTATGTGGACAGCCCTGGGGGTGTTCTCGTGTGACGGAGACGTTTGTGGATCTGGCTGGTACCTATCTATTTAGTTATATTATGTATAATCGGGTGATAAAAGTTATTAGAGGCAACGAATAAGATACCTTCTCACCTTCCTGGTGAATAATATTGACTTGATTGCTAAGATAAAGGCAATATACATAGATAGATAAAGTACTTTTTTACTAGATTGTAAAGATATTACCATTCCTAAATATCCCGTGTGTGTGACAATATTAATAAGAGATTAGACCGCGTGTATGCGAACCTTTGACAATTGAGATGAAAGAAACTCGACCAGCTAAAGTTCCTCAAGTGCCTTAGTACAAGGCAATGAAAATTGTGTACACGTTATTCTGTCCCCAGTTTTTAATTGGACCCGACACGTCATGGGAACGTCCTGACGCCATTTACCGTTTCCAAGATACGAAATAAAATAATTGGCAACGTTCACGGGTTTATTTATGCGGTTTGCATTGTAAAAATGATTATTAACGCGCTGAACAAAAGCGGGCGGCGGTGACGTGAGAGATAGCAATCAGTTATTTTGCGTTAAATAATGGCTTTAATTAAATTACATAGATCAACATTAACGCTGTCTGAAGGATAACAATAAACGCGACGTTTTTGTTTTGGAAACATTTTATTAATTGGGGTTGAGCAAGGAATAAATTGTTTTATAATGTGTTGCGTATACTGTCATGGACTTGGAATAAACAGGAGCTCTGTTTATAAAAGACGAGTGTAGGACATCAATCATGCCATACGTAGTTTGGTACCTACCCTAAACAACTGAATTAGGTACAGCTTCTAAATTGTGTTTATCTTGTTAAAACTGTTATAGAACACTCTCAAAATAAATAGGCAATGGATAACATTTTAAGAACACATCTTTTACAGTAACGCCGGGTTCTTGGAGACGAAATCCTTTGAGCACACAGTTGCTTTGGCCAAGGGCGCATTACGATCGCGCGTACGGCGGCACACTTTGATCCTATATTTTCGCGTGGCTTTGTGCCCGACGACGGGCTGACAAGCCGGCTGGGCAGACACAAAAATAAGGCTTTAACAATGTCATGGTAAGCCTGCCGCCGACGGCAAAGGCTCCGAACAAATTCGCGTTGACTTGACCCCCCACTCTCTTTGTCGTATCATGCTGTGTACGCGCAGAGCTGTCGATCCGTATTTAGATTATTGTGCGCGACTCTAGTGAAAAAATAATAAACTTTTGGATATGTCAAAACAAATTCACTTTATTCAGTGAGAAAACAAAGTATGCATGAAACTGGGAAGCAAATATTTCAGGAGTTGTACGAAGGCCAAAAATTTTAGGGTTGTTTGATAACACTCGCCACAATGTGAACCGTGTCATCTGAAGCTAATAAATTTGAATATTTGCCGTAAAATTCCGAATTCTTGTAAAGGAATAGGTGAGTTCGGGAAGTGCATTCGATCCGAAATATTTCACGTGTCACAGGAGCAAGTGGCGCGGCAAACTCTCGAGTTATTTAAAAAGTCTTATTCGGGCCGCGCAATCTCTCGCGGTCGCGTCGGTCGTCGCAAGAGCCTGAATAACTCGGGTCCGTCCCTATTCAGCCACCACAAAACCTTTCGAATCGCATGATTGATCAAAGCTTTGCATTCGCTGTACCCTCAAAATGCACCGATGCTCAGAAGATGACGCGAGAGTGAATTGTGTTCTTTGAGCAGAGACCAGCTTCCAAGAAGTTGTTTCATAATCCTAATGTAACGGGCGCGCTTCCTTTGAACTGTAGTTGTGTGTTTATGTATGTCCATTTCGACGCAACTCCCTCATTATAAGTTTTAATAGTGCACTGAACTACGGGCGGATTACAAAGAGATCTGAAATTCGTCATGTCTTTAGACATGAATAAACTTGTAGATGTCTTCCACATCAGTTCAGGATGTCGAAATTTCATATTGTTCTACTCATACAAAACAATTTAAATGTCGCGTGGTCACAATTACAATGAACCAAAATATCTTAACACCACGACTAGCTCTAATTTTAGATGGAAAATACTTCCTAAATTCAATTTTCGATATTTTTACCCTAGGAATATTACCATTTACAGAGGGGTGCCCGAAACTTTCATTTTACTCGTACACGAAATTCACACAAAAAGACCCACGGGCACAGGCTATTTTAAAACAAAGACGCTGAGGTTGCAAGAAAGGGGGTTACATTTTAACGACACCACTATCAGGGCAATGCAGAATTTTAACAATGTGCAAATTTAGAGCGTCTGCGTTTGAAGCGACAGCGGAAAATAAGTCGTCGATAATGGCGTTGGTCGGAGTGGCATCATTACTGTTCGGAAGCGGGTGACAGGCCGCGTCACAATATCACCGCTTGTGGGTATTTTAACTGTCTCCCCAATTATTGTGAGTGCCACACTCGAGTTTCACGTTTAACATCGCGCATGAATTAGGCGGGATATTGTCTCCGTGGAATATTGTTATGTTGACTTGCGTCGTTTGTTTCAGTCAAGTTCATTAATAATAAACGATGGAAGAATTCGAATATATTATTCATTTAACTGTGGCTTTTTGCTTATATTACAAGACAACAAGTATACATTTAAAATTATAAGAGTATTTGTTATGTCAAAATCATTAGAATTCTTCAAAAAAGTGGAAAAATCTGAAAATTTTCCTTAATTGTTTTGGTTTAGGTAACTAACGTAAAGTTACAATACGAATTCCAAAATGTTACACTAAGTTTCCGTAGCTACTACGATTTCGTAGATACCATAAACATTGTAGCGTATAGTAGACTAAAGTCGTAGCTGTTCGTATAGTAATCTCGTAGCATATAACCGTTTCGTAGCGGCATCAGTATTTACGTAGTCTCGTAGTAAGCACACATATCAAGTCAAATAGATAATAGACACCTACTTGTATCCGTTTTAGTTTAATCATCACATTAATTAGCCACGTGTTGACTTAGCGGCTTGTTTGCATTGTTGACAATCAGGTCGTATTGTTCTAATGTATTAACAAACACACAAATATCATAAAATGGGTATTAATTAGACAAATATTTAAAGTCATTTTGTTCAATTAACACGTATCATGATTAATCTGTGCAAACACTTCTTCAATGTGCCTATTCAATGTGTTGAGAAGAATCGTTTTCAATTATTCCGAGAGGTATGAAACATTTCTCATCACTCGATATTATCAGCCATTTGATAGGTTTCTTGGATAAACGAAACTAATTAAGCGTTTTAATTAATCCTACCATTGGGTGTTTTGTTACGGAAAATATTGATTTATTTTCCCGCATTCAGGTTTTGGGGGAGATGGGAAAGTTTCATTTGGCGTTGCTCAATATCTGTTACAGGCGGTTGCTGGTTAGTTGAATAACTGTTAATGAGCGATATCCAATTATGTCGGTGAGGTAATAAAAGTAAAATAAATTACGGGCAGGTAAGCAACAAGAGCCGGCACTAAAAGGGTTAAGCATATTTTTTAGTGCAGGCGACGTTGAGAGGAGACGTTAATTTTATACAAGCCGTAACCCGTGCTAGACTGACGCTGCGATGGAAAAAACGAATTCAAGCAAAAAATCTATTTGGCGCCTCTTTTATCACCAGAAATAAAGACGCATCCGTCTCGGCGTTTGTTTATATGCAAATCATAAATTCTATTGCAGTTTTCATTAACTATCCTCGCCTACTTTTTACCGCAGATTTTAAAGGATATTATGAGGGTTTTATAGCGAAAAGATCATAATAAATGTTTACTTTAAAAATACAGTTCAGAATTCAACAGAATTACATTTTAACGAATTACACGAATGCATTTTCAAAAATAACAATAACAGCGTAATTAAGTAAATAAAGCCGAAGAATCAAATTAAAATCATTAATGAACTTTCCGCGTTAATTGTTTTTGTTTTCAATTACAACAATATCGCGGCAAGCACACACACAGCAAGCGAGCAACTTTTAAACTTGTTACCCACGCACATCGTAACCGTTTATCAAGATGAACTAGACAACAGTCGTAGTTTCGTAACTCAATCAAAATCGAACAACGTCGCAGTCCTCCCCGTGGGTTTATTGAATACCGTTATCTAAATTGTGGGTTCTTGATGCCCTTAACAAAGATTAAATTAACAGGTCGACTGCAGGCCGCAGCTGTAGGGTTGAATTTCCCAATTGGTTACCTCGGCTTTAATGCTCCATCGCATACGGTACGATAATCCGCTTGTAGAGTTGTAATAGGGCTAATTGAACTATCGTTACGTTATTAGTGGGAATACACGTTCGATTCGAGCCGGATTCCATGTTTCCAAATGTTTATTGCGAAAACAGTATTGATTTATGTTCCCACCGCGCACTAACTGGCCCGCATGTTTTTTGGACTGGCCGAAACTGTTACCTAATGATATTCAGATTCGCAGTAAATTGAAACTAAATCAACTAACAATATGACTGATTATTGCATAAATAATTTAGGACATAAATCGTTCGCGTAATAGGCTGTAGGTACCGGTGCATGCGTGAAATCTAGCATTGTTTACAAAATAGTGCGTTATTTGTTTGTACTATGCGGAGGTTGCTAATAATATTTGATTCGCTGATATTACCAATCAGTAAAGGTTCGGACAAACCAACGCGATCACAGCGCGATCAACCGGCGTGCAGCGATGGCGATCAATGCATTTAGGTCTGGTCGCCATCGCTGCACGCCGGCTGATCGCGCTGTGATCGCGTTGGTTTGTCCGAACCCTTATTGGGAAATACAATAAGATAATGTGATAAATTTTATCAGACGGAATAGTTTATTGGTTCGTGTTGAAAAAACGTAGCAGAAGAATCTCAGTCACCTTTGATAGCGTCTTTATTACTTCCAAGAAATAAGATTTACATTATGTAACAAGTGCGTAGGTATATCTGATTATCTGTAAGTTACAACTACCTATCTACGTACAGGCAGTGTATAACTTGATTAGCCGTGCCCTAGCTATTTTCGTTTCAGGTGATGATTATTGAAAAAAATACATATTTGTTTAATCTACTGAGCATAGCTCAGCAGTAGACGTCCTGCGGCTAAAACATATTTGTATGTCCTGCGACCTATGTACAGTCGCGGAATGAAAAGGTTCGTCACCTTAGTGTCGGTTTTCGCTTGCACTAGGTACTGTAAGAGTCAAACCTGCCAACATAACAAACAGTACAAGAAACAGTGCTGCTAACATTTAAATAAATATGACGTTTGCTAACGAATAAGGTTTTGCTTGTTTATTTTTCTATCCCATCAGTGCAATGCTTGGACGAATAAACCACTGGACACGAAACCTACAAGATTTCTAAGAAAACACGATCAACCACTTTTTGCGGGGGGAGAGGTTTGACAATTGTCAAATAATGACATTTAGTGCTGGGAAAAGATCGTAAATTTTTATCGATAGTTATGTAAATNCTGGACTATGATATTTTATTGGTCAAATCAAAAGCGTATTCGATTTTGACCAACATTTGGCACCTTTATTAGGCTTTTCTTATCTTTTGGGCCTCAGTAGTGCTCGTCAAGTGTTACACATGGCAATGTTAAGAATATATGACGAAAAAAAATGCAGTCGCCACTCGTTGCCAGTTAAAAGTAGTAGCATATACGTGGATACTTAACTGAATGAAAATCTAGTGGTAAAATGTTATAAACATGTACGTACTTTTTCTCCTTCATGCGTCGCTTCTGTCTCTTTTTTGACGCAGCTCCCGAACTGGTAGAAGGGTTAGCTGGATCTTCTACAAAACACAAAATAGAACTTTTAAATGACGGCTATCGTTTTTATACTTAACAGTTGGCACCCCTGGCGAATGACAGGACCTTACTCTACAGTGGCGCCATCTTGATGAGTGCAAATTCGATAGTCCTCCTACCACTTTAGCGCTCACAAGTTGGTGCCACTGTCTTCGCTACTAGCAAGTGACAGGACCTTACTCTACAGTGGCGCTAACTGGTGAGCGTTAAAACGGTAGCCCTCATTAACTTGAATATTATTAATATTTCATTTGAGCGAGTTAACTCCGCATAGCGCCATCTATGTGTAGATTATGGAACTTTCTATAAAAACATTCGTACGAGTATTTTGGGCAGTCTAGCTTACCTTGCATGAAATTAGCTCCCGCCACCAACAGTTCCACCGCGAAGCTGGCTTGGTTCTTGGCCACGCGTAGCGCTAGCTTCGCTTTATCCGCATCGTAGCCCATCGCCACCAACTGAAGCGATAAACATGGAAAGTCATCAAGCAGTAAGACTTTAAACTTTATGTTAAGGCAATAAAGATTATGTTGCGATTATTCAAATATTACAAGCTTCTCTTATTGTGTCATTGTTTGTAAGCAATCGCGTCCCAAATCTTTACCCATTCCAGTAATTTTATTGTGCTAAAATAAGATTTTTAACACTTACATCTTCGACCAGTTTCTCATCAGGCACCACCAATGAATCATCTGAGCTGGATGGCTCTGTCTCCTCCGATGACAGGTCACTGTCTTGAAGCTGTAAACAAGATAAAATTTTAAATCCAAGTAATTATATCGATTTTAGATGTCTATTAGATGGTATCGCATCCAACTTCTATGGTACAGTACCCGGCAATAAATATTGCACATCGACCTTTGGAAAGAGACAATCGGTTAATTTCGGCTCGTAGAGCGTTATCTCTGTCGCACACTACCTATACGATTGACAAAACGTCATTGACAAAACATTATTCAATGAAAATATTGTCCGAACCCTTAGTATTTCTCTTCGACAAATACTTTAACATATTGTGAACCACTTTTCTTTCACGACTATAAAAAGTTTTTAGCAATTTAATTCACAAAATCAATTGCACACATTTAAAATAAAGTTTGTTTACACTTTGACAAAACGTCATTGACAGTCGTGCGACAGAGATAACGCTCTACGAAACCGTAACTAGCCGATTTCTCTTTCTTAAGGTCGATGTGCAATATTTATCGCCGGGTATTGTAGGTATTTAAAACAAAAAAATATCTGACATGGCTGAACTTTGAACTCCGTGTGGTAGATAGAATCCTGAAAAATCAGACCTGGTCCAATAAGAGTATTTGCAGTATGCGTTGGGGTCATGCACTTTGAACACTGGTTGCATTAGATATACAATAGCGGGTAGCAGCATTAGTTCAGTCCTGTCAATTTGGTGACACCAAGTCAAACTGTTCCTTAGTAATACACCTGCACTTGGTCTCCTGCTTCTGTATAAGTCCAGCTTGCTAGAAGTCACCAGGTGTTCCAATTATACTACAGTCTGGCTACATATACGGTCTCTCACTCTGAGGTATTTTGTCATTTACCAAATTCAAATTCAAATTCAAATTCAAATTCGTTTATTTCTTTAACTTAGCCTAGTTCAGTTACAAGTTGTTGGAGCTTCCTGTTAAGCAACAGATGTTACTTGTGCTAGGAAGCACCGCTCTTCCATAACAATATTACAGTAGGTAGGCAAATTTAATTTTTAATGCGTTTAGTGTGGATAGAACAAAATAAATAAATAAGTACACTTTATAATATTTTACAAATGAAAATTTTATAAGTGAAAATTTTAAAATTAAAGTTAAATTAATTCGAAAATACTAATTAATACTAGAACCCAGGTAAAAAATATAATGTGCGAGTGTGTAATGTGTGTGTATGTGTAATGTGTGTGTATGTGTAATGTGTGTGTATGTGTAATGTGTGTGTATGTGTAATATATGTATATGTGAATGTATGTATGATTTTGTTTTAACTCACTATCAGAGATTCAATTTCTTCGTAATTTTTAGTTTGTAGCCATTCAGTGACTGCTGATTTGCACTTTGCATACGTTAATGGATAGATGTTTATTTCTTTGTTAATTTTGTTATACATGGTAGCAGATCTGTTTCCATGTTGACGTTTAGCAAAGATTGATTTAATTTTTGGTATTTTGGCAACGTTAAATTTGCGTCTCGAGTTGCTGGTGTCAGGCGTATAGGGGAGCGTTTTATGTGTTCTTAGGACAATGTTCAGGATGTACAGCTTCCTTACTGATAGAGTTCCTGTAGCAGTGAAGAGAAGCTCTGTTGAAAACATGCGAGGTAAGAAATACATCATTTTTAGTAGTGCCCTCAGAGCTCGCTCTAAGTCAAGAAATCTTGTTTTATTTGCTCCACCCCATACAGCTATGCAATACGTTATAACTGATTGCGCTAAAGCAAGATATGTTTGATGTAGCAGATGTTCTGAAGCTACATGACGCAGTTTCTTAAAAGTCCACATGAGTTTTCTAGTTCTACTTATAATCAATTCTATATGGTTATGCCATGATAGCCGTTGGTCAACGAGAACGCCTAGGTATTTTATATGGGAAACCTTTTGTAATTTAGCACATGAGCATTGTCCATCGGAATCGGAATGACTTACCAGTAACTGCTCATGATGATAGTCGACGAAGCACATGATGTCGTGCCCCTGGCCCCTTCGGATGTAGGCAGTTTAAATTGTTTTTGTATAGCATTATATGTAAACGCATAACAACGTAATTTACCTTTATAATGCCATCTATAGTCTGGTCCGTGAGCACGTAGAATTTTGTCCAATGACCTACGCATCCTTATCGCTCCCGCGTAATTATGTTGCTATCGCGCTCGCACACTCACTGCGGGTGTCAGTCGCACAGTCGCGACAGCAATATAATTACGCGCGAGCGATAAGGATGGGTAGCTAGGGGTCATTGGACAAAATTCTACGTGCTTACGGACCGGGCTTTAGTATCAATTTTTTTTTATTACTTTTTATTCGATGTAAAGTGTGCGGCCATAAATGAACCGTGTTGGACATTTTTTATTTGCAAATTGTATTCTAAAGCACAATATCCGTAACCGAAACTTTCGGATATCCGAAATAAAAAAATATCCGTAACCGCATCCATAATCGAAACTACATAATATCCTAAACATCCCTATTGTGTATGTGTGAGAGATACTACTGACCAGCTCGGGCTGCTCCTGGATGAGGCGCACGGCCTCGGCGACGTGGTTGTTGGAGTTGCGCAGCGCGTGCGCCGCCAGTCGCCGCGAGTAGCCCATGCCCACGAGCGCGTCCACCAGCTGCTGCCGCACCTCAGACCCGTCCATGCAGAGGCCGAGAGCGCGCCGCTGTCTAAAGGTTAATGGGTTATTTATGTACAGGGTATGTATATTATGACTGTTTTAATATACAGGGTGGAATTTTGTAATGCCACCTGGAGGGAAAGTACTCTTAATACTGTAGATAGAAAATTTTACTCAAAGAAAACATTCCTTTATTTTCGAAAAGAAAAAGAACTGCATTTAAAGATTTCCGAAAAAATTTCGACAATTTACCACTTTTGTACTACAATTTTCTGTAAATAATTATGTCAATTATTTAAGATTTCATGATTTTCCTTTCATTTGATTTATCAAGTTTCTTAGAGAGATTTCATCCTTATACTTAACTCTAACGATTGATGCAATAAAAATACAGGTGTAATTTTTAACAGATTTGAGTTGAGTTTGAGTTCGAAATTTTTTCGAAAATTCTCCATCATACCATACAATTTTGTGTAAATAATTAAAATAATTTAAGATTTCAGGTTTTCCTTTCATTTGATTGATCAAGTTTGTTAAAGAGATTTCATCCTTATACTTAACCCACGAGCTGGAAGACGTAGCGTGGGCAGGCCTCCCACTAGGTGGACCGACGATCTGGTGAAGGTCGCGGGAGGTACCTGGATGCAAGCGGCGCAGGACCGGTCTTTGTGGAAATCCTTGGGGGAGGCCTTTATCCAGCAGTGGACGTCTTTCGGCTGAAACGAACGAACGAACGAACGAACTTAACCCTAACGATCGATGCAATAAAAATACAGGGTGTAATTTATCACGGATTTTAGTTGGTTCGATTCCCGGGTGTGGCAAGAAATTTTTTAGAAATCTTTGAATGCAGTTCTTTTTCTTTTCCTAAATTAAGGAATGTTTCCTTTGAGTAAAATTTTCTATCTACAGTATAAAGAGTACTTTCCCTCCAAGTGGCATTACAAAATTCCACCCTGTAGAATAGCTATGCTACCCAAAGTGGAGAAGTCAATAAACCAAATCATACATTTTTCTCTTTTAAATTACAACGTCGCGTCGCATAGGTACATAGATAGCAAGCGCGATCAAGTGGTTGTAGCGTTTGCCGCGTCGCGCTCGTCGCTGACTTAAAAGAGGTGTCTCCACTGCATGACCTGATGATGACGATTTATTGGGTGGATTTTTATTGGCGATAGGTAAGAAGCCGTGTGGTGGCAGAGTAGAATACATTTGTCACCAACCACTACTCTTCCCGCGGGTGTCGTAATAGGCGACTTAAGGATTACACATCAAACAGAGAACGGGCAGCAGCGCTCTCTGAAAAACATCAATCTTTTAAACTGCGTTTTCCAACCTGCCTGCCAAGCATGGGTATTATGGCAAAACCCTCCACTATAGTGGAGGAGGCTTATAGTCCAGCAGTGGACTGTAAAGGGCTGTTGATGATGATGAATGATCCTGGCTACATGGGAGTTGCAGCAGTGGGATCAGTCAAAGATGATGATTAACTTGATCTTCACTGGTTGGGTTTTTATTGGCAGTCAAGCTGTAGACCCTGGCTACACAGGAGTTGCAGCGGTGAGAACGAGAGGTGGGTATAGTCCCTTATTTGGTGATGACGATTGGCTGTTGAGGAGCCTAAAGCCTGGTCTGTGAGCACGTAGAATCCCGTCCAATGACCCCAAGCTGCCCATCCTTGTCGCTCGCACGTAATTATGTTGCTGTCGCGCTCGCACACTCACTGCGGGCGCGCGTCGCACAGTCGCGACAGCAATATAATTACGCGCGAGCGATAAGGATGGGTAGCTTGGGGTCATTGGACGGGATTCTACGTGCTCACGGACCAGGCTTTAGCTTCGCTCACTCGGTCCAGCTGCCGGCCGCCTGCCCGCAGTCCAGCCCAGCTGCGTCGGCGCTGGGGAGGAGCCTAGCCTCGCTCACCGGTCGCGGCGGTGCTGCTCGCGCTCCAGCTCCCGCTGCGCGCGGCGCTCGGCCAGGTAGTGGTGCGCGCGGTCCAGCTGGCCGGCCGCGGCGCGCAGTCCCGCACGCGCCTGTCCGCAAGTCCAGCCCAGCTCTGTTAANTGCTAACTAGCTTTTGGTCTAACGTTCTCTAATCTGTCTCACGTCACGGACAAAAGTTTCATCAATAGCCTATTTCTACACCACTAAATTTTAATCACCGAAAAAAAAAATTCTGGGTAATGGGTTATTGATACTGATCCCATTTGTGCAAAAAAAAGAGTAAAATAAAGTGACTCAAAATATCCTCCTAAAATTGGTAATTTATTGACACACGCGTCACTAGCACTATTCAAGAACAATAATGTAACACTAATTAAAATTAAAAATGGTCTAAGTTAGCTTATTATGTAATAATAACACTGTAAGCGTGGTCGAGGCGTGAGCGAGACAGACAGATCGATGCAACGTGTGAGCGCGTACGACTACTCTAGCGAGCACCGGAGTGACACAGCTGTGACGCGTAAAATACGGACTAACGAAAATTTTATAAAAAAAATTAACTTCATGAAAACCATTTCTTTTTCTTTTGCTTTCAATATTCCACACGTTTCTACATAACCTGTTAAAATTTTTTCGGTGATAAAAATTTAGTGGTGTATATGTCACCGGAAAATAACAAGACTCGTAAGTTGATCAATTTTCTAGGTAGTTGATCAACTCTCGGAAAATAATAAACGGCATTTGAAATGTACTATTTAACGTATGTATTTTAGTAAGTTGATTAATTTACGGCGTCTTGCCGTTAAATAATCCGACAAAGGCAAGGTGCACGTTGATTGGTTAAAAGACTCACGTGCTTTTATACCGCTCCCCGCCACCCGGCCGCCGCCATTACCAGTTTAAA